AATTGCATTTGTACACACCATTAATGTTAAGTACTGTCAAAGGACATGCCCTTGCATCAATGTGCCTTAAATTTTAACCTCAAGCTCTTTAATAAACAAAAATATAGTCTTTGTGAGTTCCCAATGACTGAAATTTCATGCAAGGAGCTATCCAAGAACCATTTCAGGACCCATCAAGAGGGATTTTACTTTTTCTCTCTTTTTCTAAATTGGAAGCTTGAAAGGCTTTCAATATAGGAGTCCTTTTCATTGGGACACCGAGGAACCCTTCTTTTCTTTTAATCAATTAACCCATTTGTTTTTCGTTCTGGGTTTGAGTGAATCAGACATCTGATTCAATCCATCTGGTAACATGTTATTCTTCAATCAGAAAAGTATTGGTAAAGTAAGCTTCTTGCGATAGGGATGTAAATCTACCTCTTCAATACGTATCTCCACTATTTTATAGCTAGGCTCATACACATTATGTATTTACATATTTATTTGTTCTGAAGAAAGAAGAGGGAATTGGATTTAGCCACAAAACAACTCTGGTGATAGTTATTGATGATGACTATAAAATTGGTATCCATCTTTATAAACCAACTAGATGTTGAATTCAATTTAAGGCATTTTGTCAATAAGGAATCCCGACTGAATGGTCTTACAAGTTAAGTGGAGCCATTTGGATTTTATTGAGCAATTCAAATTGCTATATCTGTTGTTTCAAGGAGAATTAGCTTTCTCTTCAGTGTATATCCCATAAGCTAATTAAGTATGACTTCATCAGTTTGAGTTAGAATTTGATTGTACTTGCATGGAATTGAAATCTTTAACAAACCCCTTGTTTAGGACCAAAGGCTAGCTATGATTTTCATCTCCTATTTTGGTAGCATCTACTCCCATCTGATTCAATCCATCTCATCTTTTACCTTTCCATTCCTTTCCTGATTATCATGATCCTGTCTTGTGATTTGTGAAATCCAAGGTGCATTTTCTGTATGGGAGTAAACCCCCATAAAATACAAAATGCATATGAGAAAAATGTTTAAAATCAAATTACACCCATGCAATTAAGAAATATAACGTTTGATTGTTTTATGGAAATTAATTTATCATGTGAGGTAATATTCTACCAACCCTAGTCAGTTCTGTCAAAATCAATGAGTGGAACGGGACTTTTCTACACTCTTTTGGTTCTACCTTCATTAAACAAGTTACTGCATTTAGTCTTTGTGAGATTAAGGGATGAGCGTTTTATAACGACTGAAGTTGCTGAACTGAAGGACTTGTGTCCTAGCTTTAATTAGTATATAAAATAATAAAGAAAAAATAAAATAAAATGTTCAAAGGTAAAGTAACATACCCAAATTCCTTTTCAGCCATTAAGGAGCTTACAACCTTCTTAGAAGCGTATATTCGCTAGAAGAGAAAGCAATAAGCTTTTCAGTTCAGCCTAGAATGGTTCCACTTTATTCATGGGCAACCTCATGAAACCCTAGGATCTCCACAAGCAGTGGTGTTAGGGAAAAAGAAAAAGTGGGAATATCATGCTAAAGAAATTAACATGGAATATGCTACAGTCCCAAATGTTAAGTGACTTAATTGGCTTATGCGTTCCATCAACCCCAGCAGGCAGGGCTTGGGGAAATATTAGTCTAGTACGCAATTTTGCCATCATAACTAACATATACCACAAATCTTCCAACCATTATGAATTATTTCTGGCTAGGTTATCATTCTTTTGTTCTTTATATCAATGAATTACTGATAAAATTATAGGCATCATTTTGTGTTGTTAAGTGATCTAAATGATACCTTAAGGCTATATTTGGTTTGAAGGAAAAATTAGGGAAAGGAAGGAAAAGGTAAGGAAACCTATACAAGATTTCTAAAGGTTTTCCTACATTTTCCTTCCTTTCCCTAATTTTTCCTTCAAACCAAACATTGCCTGAAACTAAATGATCTTAATAAGCATGCCCTTGTGCAGAACCTTTATTCTTATTAGTGTCATAAGGTTCATTTAATAAACTTCTAAAAAAAAATAATAAACTTCTAAAAATCAGTAGGATTTGAAAGGTGTAACCTGGTTCATCAGGTTCAGCTGGTATATATAGTGATGACCTGGGATAATCAAATCCTGCATTTACCCTCCTCACCCGGCCCCACCTTTGCCTAGATAGAAAAACAGTATGATTACACACACACAAACTAGGCGCATACACAATCACACACTAGCATCCATGTAGTAGTAATGCAGCTCCAGTTGTTCATCAGCCTTGTATTACTTTTTCTTTGAAAGAAAAATAACCTACACAAAAAGCCAGAATGAGAAAATTTTAACCGCATTAAATTTGGAGATTCATTGCACTCATACTAGCATAATATATACAGAGGAAGGTTTTTTTCCAATATATATTATTATTACGATGACCCTTTTTCAAATTATATGTACTTTTCAGAGAAACTATATAAGATGTCAAATATTCTCTTTTATATATTTGACTTTGTTTACAGCAGTAAATTAGGTATCCTGAATTGAGTACCGATGAAGTGGTAATTATTTTGTTCATTCCTTTCAAGATATCTTTGCTGTTATTTTGTGTTCCCCATCATCCCATGCATGGATTATGCGAAGGATATATGCTCAAAAACCAAGTCAATTAGCTGCAATAAAGATGCATTATCAAGGTTTTTAAAATTGGATCGGTTAGGGAACTATTCTGGGGACTGGTTCTCGGGTCAAATAGTTTGATCGTCTGTTTCAAATGGACGATCCATTCTAACAAAAAAAATAATTAATAAAAAAACGGCCAAAAATCATTATTTAGGTTGATGGTTTGATGGTTCAACTGGCCCCCGGTTTTTGGGGTGAAATGGAACCGATCAGGTGACCGTTCCCAGTTTTTCTGGTCCGACCATCTGATCCAGTCCGATTTTGAAAACCATGTGCATTATATTAGAGATTTGGTGATCTCTTTGGAACATTATCTATGATGATGTTTGGATAATTCTTACTTTGAAAGCCATCATTATTATAGATAAGCTAAATACAATTAATTCCCTTCCAAATTAAGTTTTCCAAGCAGACGTATCAAAACTGTCATTCGAGTCCTCAACCTCTTTCTCACCTTTAATGCACTTTGATCTTGTGATGAATCTAGTGTTTTTGATATTCTTAGATCAGCTTGTTCATCTTTTCAAAGATTCTTTTTTGCAAGTTGTGGTACCTCCTCTTTACAAGGTATAAGATCAATTTCCTTAGGTGGAACAAGGGTCGTTATTCATAGATGGTGACATATCAAGTATCGTGCGTGTGATCATGTCTTTAACTAAATAGGGTAATCTTTACTTTTGTAAAAGCTAGATGATTTGTGATTGCAGAATTAAGTAATTAACCTTTGATTGCAGCTTCCAATCCAATCCATCCTTGGTGTATATATCTTATCCAAGTTTTCCTAAAATGCAATTAATCCAAATCCATATCAAGCTAACAATATGATGCCACCTTTATTTAGTCTCAAAGTCTTCTCACTTAATATATATATCTGTTTTACCTTTCAATATTTCCCTTTGCATTTTTTTTTTAATATTTCATTAATCCTCCTATGATATACATATTGACTGCATCCATGCCCCTATTGTTAAAAATTAACACCTTGGAGCTTTAGCTTCATAAAGCAACAAAATTGTCTTCAGTTCACCTGAAATTCATAAATAAACAAATAATCTACTTATTTTAGTTTTTATTTTAATTAGAAAATCTGTAAATTTATATTTGGGTTTGGCTAGGTTCACAGTTAAATAGTGTTTTCATTTTTAGCAAGAACCTAGGCTACCTATAAAATGCATATGTATATATTAAAGGTAAAAATGCTCCCTGTATTTCATTAATTATATTGTAATTCCATGACAGTCAATGCTACATTAGATTTTTCCTTTATTCTTTTTCTAATTTAAAATCCAAAATATTCCTCCCACATGGAAATGAAAAAAACTGTCAATCTGCAACAACAGAGGGAGATTATCAATGCAAAATTAGAAAACATAGGGAGAAATTATATAAAGGATAGCTAAAACATTTTCATGGGAACATAGATACAAAAGCCCCCTAAAGATAAAAGCTAATAGAGTGCACCTTCTGTTGGGAATGGTAGCACTGTATGTTAATTACATTAACTATAACTGAGGTCATTTCATAAATCCAAGCCCATTTGCCAAATTAGTATATTCTTATCATAAAAGCTGGCTTTACAGTTTAGCAGTTCTGTTTCATTGTTAGTCTTGAGAGAGAGAGAGAGAGAGAGAGAGAGAGAGAGAGAGAGATGAGCACACATCTCAAACTTATTGGCTTTGTACCGTGGACAATGAGGTTCCATTAAGTGCTTTCCAAAAACAAACCAACCTTCAGATCCTCCCAACAGAACAAGGAACCCCTACATTGCCTGCATGAAAGAAAGAAAATACAATTCAGAAAAAGAAAAGGAAAGGAAAAGCCAGGGAATAAGAGAACTCTGGGGATGTGGAAAAAAGCCTGCCACCTGCCAACTCTTCACCAAGTTCGATCATTGACCTTTGAGTACTTCCCTTAAAAGGAAAAAAGAAAATCTTAACCGTCCATCCATTTAATTCTTGTGAGCCGTCCGGCCATCCCATGCATCCTCCTAAGAACACTTCCTTCTTTCATTTTTGTTGGTTGTTTCATACCCAAATTGGTAAAGAAATAAACTTACAACCCAAATCACCCCCTAAACATATATTATTTTATGTCATCCAGTCTGTTAATGGTACAAAAGGCCAACAAGATTTCTCTCCATTCTCCCTCCACCAACCAAGCCTTCATCTCATCATCTTCCTCCTATATATATAGAAAAGTGATATCTGTTACTTGTTCTGATTTGCACAAAATCCTTCAACACCCAATCTGTTCTACAGTCTCCCTCTTTCTTCTTCCTTACTACTACTGTTAAAAGTTAAAACAAAGAGATCGACCCACAACCCACAACCTTGTTGTATCTATCATGGATTCCAGCCACAGTAGCAACAACTGCAGTAAGCCAGCTTGGAGTCTTGACATGGCCATGGATATGAATCCAATCCTCAGTGATCAGCTTCCTTGTGACTTTGTTTGTCCTAATTACCCTTTTCAGGCGCATCATCAAATACAGAATAATTCTAGCCATGTAAACAGTTCGTGTTTCCTCAATGATCAAGTGGGAAGACAGCTGATGAGAGAGGAACAAGAAGAGCCAGAAGAAGAGCTTGGGGCCATGAAAGAGATGATGTACAAGATTGCAGCGATGCAGCCTGTCGACATCGACCCAGCAACAATTCGTAAGCCAAAGAGGCGTAACGTTCGTATCAGCAACGACCCACAGAGTGTGGCTGCACGCCACAGAAGAGAAAGGATAAGCGAAAGGATACGGATTCTCCAGAGACTTGTTCCTGGGGGAACCAAGATGGATACAGCCTCGATGTTGGATGAAGCCATCCGCTACGTTAAGTTCTTGAAGAGACAAGTGCACCAGCTTCAATCAAACCAGCACTCACCCCATGTCGGAGTAATTGCAGGAAACTTTCCGGCCGCCGGCAATTGGCCGGTGATTTCCAGCAATGCTCTTGGTTCTGCCTCTTCGTCGTCTGCGGAGCCTCCTGTTGGAGCCGGATTCACCATTGGAGGAGGAGGAGGCGGCGGCAGCATCCCATGTGACACCATGGTCTTTAACCATGAGGTAATCAGTGATTAGTGACTTAAATAGTTGACGATTATCATGAACTCTTGTTGGATTAATTACTGAAGATGGATTATCGATCGATTATGGGAAGCAAACTGTATATACTTGTGACGTTAAGCCAATTCTGCTAGCTCTTGGTTTCATTCTCTTCTAGACGATCATGTGAAGCAAGGTTGTTAGGATTTGTTTGACTAAATAGAACTTTGAATGATGATAACCGTTACCTTGAGTTACATATATATTATATATAAATCTTTTGAAGTCTGATAAGCTTCCCAGGAAGTTTGTTGGGTCCATTCTCTTTTCCTTGGAAGAATACCATTGAAAAATGATCTGATCATTAATCTCTCTCTCTCTCTCTCGTACGCTGCTGTGATGATATCATCACCCATAAGATGTCGAAAGCGACATTGACCTTGGAACCTTGGAAATAGGAGCACTCAATTCTTAAATTAATGGAAGAAATCAAAGCTGGTATTGACAAAATAGGAGCAATCAATTCTTAAATCAATGGAAGAAATCAAAGCTGGTCTTGTGACTCTTGTCAAATATTGTTTTTAATTTGTAAAGAAAACAAAGTCGTGCATATTGGGGATTGAGCAACAGGCGTTATGTAATGCTTTGATTCATCATCATCATCTCTCTCTCTCCCTTCCCCAAATCCCCTTCTTTCTCTCTGAAGACGTGCACACGTTGGTGCAGAAAATGGTTCGGTCGTGATGGGTCTACCCAATGAATCTGGTTCCTACTTTGTGCAGAACAAACCAAACTGGTACCGTACTCTTGTGACATGTACTGAGAAACAAATTGGAGTACCCCAGAAGCCAATTGATTAGATTCATGCATGAATCAAATATGGGTTGGGAATAGTTAAGTTATCGTATGTCTGGGTGGCTGCATGGTTCATCATCAGTTTAAGTTTTGGTTCGTATTTTCGTATTCATGACTTAAAAATTAGAACACGGTTGATTAAAGAGGTAGCTATACTCCTGTCGCCTTATCATCAATGTCTGGATTAATATATATGTTTTATGTGCTTCATTATTCCTAAAACTTCAATTTGCTTCATCAAAGATTTGTTTAACTGATTTCTGTTTTGCAAAGTAGATTTATACGTTATGATCTGCGAATTATAATCTGTAGAACTCGGAACAAATATTAATGGGAACAGCTTCCAAACCAGTTCCCCGAGAACTAAACCCCATTTCTGTGCAGTGCAATGAGGACCCGACTGAATCTGATCATTTAATTAAGACAAGTCTCTTGCAGCTATGATGCAGACTTTCATGTCTGTCTACCCGCATGTCACAGCAAATTGTCTTATATACTTTGTACTAAAGCCATATAGACTACAAATAATAGTAGTTTTGAGCTGATGTTATTTGCTTATACATCCTTTTGTTTCAAATTCTGAGTTATTGACTTGTTGTATGCATCAATCTGCCTTCCAAACGGATGTCATATTGCTTTTCTACAAGCCTGTCACCAAGATCAAGTTGTACAGAGGTGGGTTCAATTTCTATCAACAATGTTGCAGCCAAACCTTCATACTGCTTCTTGTAGAATTCTATTCTTTTCCTTTAATCAAACCCTTGCCCATTTGCCGGTGTTGTATGATAAACCTTGTACATCAATTTGGCTTGGATTGATCAGATCATTAAAAGGAAATTAAATGGAAATATAATTCTAGTAGGGCCATGGAAGTGCAGATGTATTAGAGGGTGCAAGGGACTCTTTCCCATTGCTAAATATTAATTACACTTGGGTGGTTTTAAGAAATCATTTCTCTGTGCAATGGGTTGATCCAACTGCCCCGGAATGTAGTAGGCACGTTAGGTAAGCACAATGAGTGAGCACATAATAGCTTTGTGACACATGTCCCAATTAATGAGTTAATGTACTTTTCATTCAAACGTTTTTGCTCCGTTAGACAAAAATTATCCATTATTTTATTATCTTTGTCAAAATAATAAAAATGAAATACGTAAATGAGTCCCAACTCCCAACATGTTTAGTTTTTCCATTTTCATTGTTTTTATTTTTAATTATTTTGATAAAGTTAATAAAATAATGAATAATTTTTGTCTAACAGAACAAAAATGTTTGGGTAAAAGGCGCATTAATTGGGACATGTGTCACATAGCTATTACGTGCTCACATTTTGTCGTCTTTATTTTCCGCCTCAGTATTTCTAGGACAGTCGAATAGAGACAACCATATATGCATTTTCCTTGTTAATTTCATTTATTTTGCAACTAAATATTATATTGTATCTAAAACCAACTTGGTCGCTAGAACTGTTTTTCCTCCGGTTCAGTTTGACCGTCCAATCAAATGGGTCAGACCATAACACGTCAGTATTTATATATATAATTATTTTTTAGATGTAATATATGTATATATAAATATTATTTTATGTTTAATTTATGTTTTTAATTTACTTACTATTGATAAAAATTGTTTGAATTTCTCATTTTAGGCCAAAAAATAATTTTTCGGGGGAAAATAGCAAGGCACTTTGCAACTCATAGATCTTGTATTACCCAAATTCCAAAATAAAAAAAAAATCACTTCGACCAAACAACATTGAGCACAAAGTTATGGCCTCTAAAAGTTTGCACATACATTGAATGTACAACCAATGGTATAATGACTGGGTTGAACAGGTAAATGATTCAAAGATCTTGAGTTAGGTTATTTTTGACCATGTCAACATTTTTAACCAAATGCCAGGTTTTAGGAGAGTTGGACCCAAGGCTGGGTGATGATGTGAGTGATTCAACTGGTCAAGTCAATAACGGGTTGAAAACAATATATTGTATTATAAATCCCCCTTCTTGAATCATTTGATCCGTTACATTGTTGCGTGACTCTCTATACAAATTGATTCATTTTGGATGGAATTAATACTGGATAATTCACAAATTAAAGAAAATCAAAATAATCAAACCCCCTTCTGTTTGATATGTAATTAACAAAATAATTTTCTTTTGTTTAGTTAAAAATAAATAAGTTAAATTTACTAATTAACATGGTGTTTGGAAGTGTGGGCGCTTTTTGGAACCGATTTTTAAGAAATGTCCATGCTCCCAAGACCCGTTTTTTCACAAAAAAAATGCTTCTACTACATAGGCAGTGAACAACACTATGCTGTTTGGTAAAGTGATTTTCATCACCATTTTTCATGTATGTGCTGATAGGTAAGCGCCACATAGGATACATATCAGTCAACCGTTGGAAGAAACGGTTCACCGATGTAATTTGTCGTTTCATGCATTGGTGAGATTCCGATTTTTGGGGTTTGCCCAATTTTTTAATCATCGGCTGAACCAAACAATCAGATACATGGGCATTTGTTAAAACACCTATGTGAATCCAATGTGGCACCGTTTTACAGCTCTTCAAACAATTTAACCGAGTTTCATTCGTGAAACTCTAGCTTGGCTCTGACCAGATTAGTAAATTCTAGCTTGGGCCAGCTGGGTCTGGCTACTACTGCGTTCAGATTCTACGGTGTAGTCCAATCATCCGGTCTGGCTACTAATGAACGTAGACATCCCTTGTCTAGTTATCTTGGTTCTACTAAAAAAACAATCTACTGATCTAATGGGCAGTGCATGGGTTGGTTTGGTTTCATTTAAGATAGAATCTAAAACCAATTCTTACAGGTTTTTAATTTTTTTTCCAGGGTTTACTCATAAATCTTTCTTTTTTTATCCCTCAAAAGGAATGTGTTCTTTAACAATTATATTTAATTTCAATAATAATAATAATAATAATAATAATAATAAAGGAAAGTTCCCGATCAGTACCCTATACTTTAGCTCAAGTGGCAATTTGGTCACCGAACTTTAAAATACGACAATTCAGCACCCAAACTTTCAAAATGTGACAATCTAGTACCAGTCCATAAACAGTCGTTAAGTGACATTTGAAAAGTCAAAAATGCCCTTCGAATGCCACATAATTCTCTTTATCAACCATCCAAACATTGTTGACAAAAAAACTAAACTGTCCCAAATCCTAGCCTCTTCTATTCAAAAAAGTGGGCGACTGTTTAGAAGAATCTAGAATTTGAGATTGTTCATTTTATTGAATGTTTGGATGGCTGATAAAGAGAATTAGATGGCAAATTCTTAGGGCATTTTTGACTTTTCAAATGTCACTTAACGGCTGATTAACGACAGGTATTGGATTGTCACATTTTGAAAGTTTGGGTACTGAATTGTCGGATTTTAAAGTTTGGGGACCAAATTGTCACTCGAGCCAAAGTACAAGGTACTGATCAGTGTAAATAATAATAATAATAATAATAATAATAATAATAATAATAATAATAATGTAATCCAAAACTCATCAATGTAAATTACGAAGACCCCCTTGTACTATGGGGTCAGTGACAAAGACCCCGTTTACTTTAATTTGCAATAAATACCCCCTCAACCATTAAGTCACATGATTGAAGGCATTAAATTACCAAAATACCCCACTAAACTTTCTCTATTTTTTTCTTGCCCATTTTCTCTTAAAACCTAATTGACCCAAAAATACCTCCATTGCTTCTCACCAGAAAATACTTCTGTCATCTCACCAGTGATCATTACCGTAAAAGGAAGAAATCTTCGATAAGTTAATTAAAAAAGGGGCACTCATTTCAATTAACTTTTATGGAGAAGACAATAAATAATAAAAAATAAGATGGTTTCATAAATTAAAGAAAAGGGTGAAATAAATTAGAAAAGGGTAGTTTGGGTATTTAAAAAATTTTAAATAGTTGGATGAGAATCTTTTTTGAAGTTAACTGACAGAAATGCTAACAAAGGGGGTCTTTGTCGCAAATTTAAGTACAAGGGGGTCTTTGTTGTAAATATTACTTTTTTCACCATTGATCATACACCTTCAAATATTAAATTCAAGAAAAATGATCGAACCGCTTAGATAACTCAATGGCCAAGTGAGAGTGTAAGACCATAGTCTTTGTAACCATAAGTGCTTGGGTTTCCTCAAAGTTTTTATTTTATTTTAATTTTTTTTGGGGGGGAGGGAGGTTTTATTTCATGACAAGCATGGTTCCAAGGCCAATTCCACTAAGGCCAATCAAGGCTGGTTGTCTAAATTGTTTCTGGTAGGATAAACCCCTAGACCCTTGAACCGGTATGATAGGGGTGAGCAAATGGGTAGATTCTACCCAGAATCGAATGAAGCCAATATCGAACCAGCCTTGAATTGACCCTACCCAATCTGTACAGGGTAGGGTCTGGTTCCACATTCTTGGAACTGACCCCTACCCAGGGCAATTCCAGGGTCTAGGGGTTTACCCTACCCGAACCGACCTTGGTTGGCTTTGGTGGAACTGACCTTGTTGGAACTTGCCTTGGAACCAAAATTGCCTTGAAATAAACCCCATAATACTTTTGGGGATGTGAAGATTTGAACCCAAGCTTTCATGGTTACAAAGTCCATGGTCTCACTTGACCATTGAGTTAACGAAGTGATTTGATAATTCGTTTTCATTTTGATATTTGAATATGTACAATAAATAGTGCAAAAGGTAATATTTACAAAATTTAAATTAATTTATAAGTTTTTAACCATATAATAATAATTTACATATTAAGTTATTTAATTTAATCAATAAAGATAATATAAGTTTTAAACTACATATTATATTTATTAAAAATCAAGTTTTTAAAGAACTTGTTTTTTTTTTTGTTTTTTTTTTTTGTGAAAGAGGAGAGTAAAGAAAGCACAAGTTTCATGGATAGACCCTGAAACTGACCCCAAAACTACCATGACCAGAACCAACCTTCACAGGCTAGGTTCCAGTTTGATCCCTATAAGGTAAGTTCTAGGTTATGTCATGGAACCAAACCAAACTGGCACATGCTCACCCGTAGATTGTGACCAGTCCATGTTTTATTTTATTTTTTTAACTTTAAAATTAAAAACACCACAAAATTCTAAGGGACTGAAAATTAAGGAAGAAGTGAGAGTAGGCTTACCCACATGGCCACATTGATGCGGATCAATCCACCAATTAAACCGGAAACTCGGGAACCATCTCTTACTCCGGACAGTCCGGGTTGATGGCTTATTCGTTACCGTGCTAAATCAATTACACAAACCCACCCTTGTGTGGGCATTAATCTTATCTGATACCAATCTAGTGGCTAAAAGCACCCTCAAGTCATCAAGTGAAGCAACCGCTTTTCTGGTTTGTAAGTTTCATTTCCCGCATACATGGAATGGAAAAGGTGATCAGTTTAACGATATCGATAATACAAACAAGCTATTTGTGTAGTACTTACACCATATTTATTTCAACGCTTGAAGTTGGAACCCCTCCAGACCTCCAGCTGTCCCTCTTTGAACATTTGCTTCATCGTATGCAGCAGAGCAAACTTTACACTCCAGTTCGTTTCAGTTCACAACCTACCCTGTGGTGTAGAGACTGAGATTACTTGGAGAAAATGGCTGAATTTGCAGCTGTTTCGCCTTTGAATACTACTCATTTATGCTTCTGCAAATCTCCTGGGCCTTCTTCACATAGAGCCTCCTTCCCATGTCGCTCCTTTCCACTTCCTCTTTCTTGGAAGAACATCTCCGTTGTTCGCGCCAAGAAGAAGAAGTCACAAGTTGAACCACCAATCCTAGAACCCTCAATCATTGAGGAAGTAACAATGGAGGAGGAGGAAGATGAAATTCTTGATCAATTTGAAGATGGCAAGTATCCAGCTCCTTTGTTTTCCTGTGGTTTTAGTTGGTGTTCTAATAGATTATTGAGCTCTGTGAATTGGGTTAATCTTTTTTTTTTCTTTCTGGTGGAACATAATTTAATTCAGTTTCCCATTGTGAATTTATAATGCGGTTCTCTATGCCGATTTAGATGCAGGTATTCTTTATTTTCTCGTTCTTTTCATCTATTTGTTTATTTATATTTATTATTTTTTCTTTTTTTTAATTTTTTTTGAGCAGGCTATGAATGCTGAGCTTAATATCTTACAAAATGCAGAAAATTTTCTTTTGATAGGCGGGTAGATTCTTCTTCGTGTGATAAAAGCTTGGTTTAATTGGTGTCTTGTGAACTCATAATCTTGTCTGTGTTTGGTTGCAGTGCAAATTTATTTGCACTAGTACAAATGCATGGGAGTGGAAATGAAAAAAATGCAAATTCTCTTTTAATTTTGTTTTGGGTTTTACTTTATTCTACTCCATGCCTTAATTTACTTCATTTGTACTGTAATCAAACAAAATAAACTAAAATTTGAAACAAAAATAGATCAGAATTTACACTCAAATAATTTGCACTGCCATAGTTTTGCAGCAGAGCAAATTTATTTGCATTGCAACCAAACACAGCCTAAGGGAGCTATCCTATAAAATATAATAGCGTATCCCTAACATCTAAAATAGTCTTGATTCTTATTTAGTCTGACCAACTTTGGCTATTTCATTCACAATATCACTACTTGGTTCATGCAAAATTGTGGAAAACCTTGGTACAACTTATGCTCTTCTAATCTTGGTTCCTGTTGTACTTATTCATACCAATCAAAAAGCATAAATAAGAGGTGCAACCTGTAATTTCAAGCAGCTCAGTTGCATTACTCTTGCTCGATTGCTTGCTATTTTTGTGGGCAAAGTTTGTGAAGTGTGGTTTCACTTCTCCAATTGTGTGGTTTCCCTATCAGAATAAAATGGAAACTTAAAAAGAACTTACACGGATTATTGTGAACTTATTCTCACTAAAGCCTGCAAGATATGATCTTTACAAGTGATATTTCTTGAAACTACTGCAAATTGCAATTTGGTTTGCTCATTCTTTGTCAATAAATCCATTATATCTGGAAACAGCTTAGATAAAAGCTTTTGCAGTATTGTCTATTCTTAGAGACGGTTACTGGGGCACCTAGGCATTCTGCTGGTTCTAGGGATTTGCCTGCCTACATACTCTGAAACTAGGCAGGTCTATTGGTTTTCTGAATGGCTGGCTGCCTTTGCAATTAGGTTGTCAGTTAGCCTTGTTTTTCAGATGGGCATCCCTTGGTTTTATAAAGCATAGGGTTATAAAACGTAACTAGACTTTGCAACATTATGTTCAACTTCTCAGTATCTATTTGAGTATTTGTCTTGTCTATTATTTAAACATGGCACAGAAGTCTCTTGCCATGTTGTGTAGGGAATAGGATGCCTAGGCAGTTGTTTGGTTTTCTGGGAGACTACCTAGTTTTGAAATACATGTACTGTAATTAGAAAAATTTTGCATCCTACTCTATTGTGCATGTTTCTCTCTTGCAGATGGCAAATTATATTAAATTATTAATAGAAAGAAAGTCACAAAGTATAAAGATAACAGGACAAAACATTAGAAGCTATTTGGGGAATGCTTGAGTCTTGATGATCCTCTTTAGACTTCTAGATAGAGACCATCTTATGTCCTATGATAGTAGCCCAATGTTTGTAAAGGGAATCCGAAGTGGAACAAGTTTTTCTTTGTTCTATGATAGACTACCTAGTTTTCAATGACTGATAGAAAAAAAGGCTTTTGATGGGTGTTACAGATCTAATCTGTACTGGTTTCAGTCCTATCACAGTAGAGAAATAGAACTGAGAAGAGAGAAGAGAGAAAGAAGAGAAGGAGAGATATAGAAGAAAATCTGGCTCGAACTAGAGTGAAAACCGAACTCTCTAGTCGGCCAGGTATTATTTAAAGGTTTGTAATTTAAGTCACAAAGACTCTTATGCTCCTAACTAAGTATGGGACATAACACTTAAATCAAATCATAAAGGAGATTACACCATGCTACTAATCTAAGATAAAATGGCCAAACTACCCCTTAACAGCCGACTCTAACACTTCCCCTCAAGCAAGAATTGTGGACTGTAGCCTGGTTATCATAATACTTCATAGGGCCATCAATTTAGTACCCCATCTTCTGTAAGAGATTCTTCAACCACACTAGTTCACATGTAGCGTGTGCCATGGCTCTATATTCAGCTTCAACATTGCTTCTTGCCACCATAGTCTGCTTTTTGCTCTTCCATGTCTCCAAATTGCCCCCAAGAAAGGTATAATACCTTGTAGTGGGCCTCTTGTCAAATATTGAACCGGTCCAATCAACATCTGTGTAGCCCTCTATCTCAAACTTCCTCTACTCATCTATAACAAACCATGACTTGGAGATCCTTTCAAGTACCGTACAATCCTTAGAACTACATCCCAATGTGGAACCCAAGGATTCTGCATAAACTGACTTACCACACTAACTGCAAATGGTATGTCTAGCTGAGTATTGGTCAAATAATTTAACTTGCCCACCAACCTTTGGTATCTTCTAGGATCTTTAAACTCCTCACCTGCATCACTACTCAACTTGACATTTGGCTCCAGGGGTGTTTTAGCTAGTTTGGCTCCCAACAATCCTGTCTCCTCTAACAAGTCAAGAACATACATCCTTTGGCACATATTAATACCATGCTTAGACCTTGCAACCTCTATCCCCAAGAAATATTTTAATTTTCTAAGATCCTTTGTTTGGAAGTGATCATGACATCATGTAGAAAGGTCTTCAATCTGTCAATCCCCAACCTATCACTGCCAGTAATAACAATGTCATCTACATATACTACTTACCACCAACAAAATCTTCCCAACACCTAAATAATAGTTGAATACTGAATGTTCAACTTAACACTGTCTCATGTCGAATTCTTTCACCACTTCATTGGATCTACCAAACCATGCACGTGGAGACTGTTTAAGTCCATAAATGGCCTTCTTGAGCATGTACACCTTATCGTCCTCCCCTGAGCAACAAACCTTGGTGGTTGCTCCATATAGACCTCCTCAAGAAGGTTACCATGTAAAAAGGTATTCTTGATGTTGAGTTGAAACAAAGGCCAACCATACATAGTAGCTAGGGATATCGAAACATGGACTGAGCCAATCTTAGCAATAGGAGAGAAGGTCTCTATGTAGTCAATGCCATGTAACTGTGAGTAACCTTTTGCAACTAGACCTGTTCATGGGTCGGGTGGCCCGACGGGCCGACCCGGCCCCTGGACGGGCTTGAACAGGTATATGGGCCCGCGCGCTTAACCTCGGGCCAAAAAGCCCGGCCCACAATAAATTTGAGCCGGGCTCGGGATTTGCCAAAATAGCCCGGCCCGACCTATAATTAAACCTAAAAACCCTAGTCGAATACCCCTCTTTTTTTCACCTCTTTGCCTCTTTCCCTTCTTTTTCCAGCCAAACCCTTCTTCTCCACATCCTCTTTCCCTTATTTATATTCTTTTTTTAATGTAAATAAATTCTGATTTATATTGATTATTGAATTCAGAATTTATATTGAATTTATATTCTTTTTTTAATGTAAATAAATTCTGATTTATATTGATTATTGAATTCAGAATTTATATTGAATTTATATTCCTTTTTAATGTAAATAAATTCTGATTTATATTTTGTTATTGAATTTAGAATTTTTATTCTTTTTTTAATGTAAATAAATTCTGATTTATATTGATTATTGAATTCAGAATTTATACTGAATTTATATTCTTTTTTAATGTAAATAAATTCTGATTTATATTGATTATTGAATAGGGAAAAATTCTAATTTTTTTTATTAGGTCGGGCTTCAGGCTCGAGCTCGGGCTTCGGGCTTTTTATCAGGGCCGGGCTTGGGCTCGAGCCTAACATATTTCCATTAATGAAGAGTAAAAGCCCGGCCCGGCCCATGAACAGGTCTATTTGCAACCAATCGAGCTTTCAACTGCTGTATACTACCATCCGGTAAATACTTGATAGTGTATACCCACTTACAACCTATAATATGCTTTCTGGGAGGGACAATGGTGAGATCCCAAGTATGATTATGAGCCAAAGTTGAGAGTTCTTCTTCCATTGGTTAGTGCCACCTTGGAGAGGTAAGAGCTTCTTGGACATTCTTAGGAATAGAAATAGAAAATGGCAGAGAAACAAACTGTTGATGAGAGGTAGAAAGATGAGATATAGAAACATAGTGCAACTGCATTTACCTTTCACAAGGCAATGGGAAAGGTCAAGGTCAGAGAGGTGGTGAGGTTGGTGCGGAAACAATTGTTGAATTTGTTGACGGTGAAGAAACTTGAGGAGGAGCCGGTACATGTTGATGCGTATGCACTTGTCTGATGGGTGGTCGTTTAACAGGAAGCTGCACTGGAGGTGAAGAATTGGTCACAACTAGAACAAGAAGAATGAATTCCTCAATAGGAACTAGAAGTGGAGGTGGAAAAAGAGGAGAGACATCTGACCCAGAGAAAACGGAACAAACTCAACGAATATAACATCAGGACAATCGAAAGAACGTCAGGAATTGGGGTTATAACACTTATACACATTGTGGGTCCTAGAATAGCTAAGAAAGACACACTTAGTAGATTGTGTATCTTGTCCATTCTAGGCCCAAGATATGAACAAAGCTCACACACCCAAAAACCTTGGGAGTGAGAGGAAAAGGAGACAAGGTGGGGAACAAAACAAAGAAGGGAGAATGACGTTTAAGGATGGACATGGGCATCTAATTAATAAGGAAGCAAGATATAAGCACAACATCACTCAAAAAAATGCTTGGGTGCATTCATATGATGCAAAAGGGACCGAGCAGTCTTTAAGAGATGTCAGTTCTTTATTTCAGCCACCCCATTTTGCTGAGTGTAAGTGCATGAGGTTTGATAGATAATGACATATACCTGAGTGGGCAAGGGTAGTTGTATTCTGCTGAGAGGTAGCCTGGAGGAACCGCTCATACTCATCATGTGGGACACTTCATCATCTCTTTCTCAGAGGCACCCGTAGATGTAGAATGTATATGATCAACTTTTTGAATTTCATCTCCCGTACCACTACCACTAGCCACCACATGATTTGCCCAGGTTGAGGGTGGGCCATGTAGGTTATAACAAAAGTTGATAATGTCTCCCTCCATTCCATAGTGTGTACACTTAAACCATCAGTATGTCATCTACCATGATCTCCCCCTAAATCTTGACCTCGAATGCGCCCACCACCACAATTGTACATGGGACCACTATCACCACCATGACCTAGCTGAACTCCCCGGGCTCCTCCTCCTCTGGAGATGAGCAAACACTTCCTCAAGAGAGAGAAGAGCAGGCCCACCTAGTATCTATGCTCTTACTGGTTCATATTTAGACTTTAATCCTAGTAAGAGTTTGGTTACATCAAGTTGTTCTTTCTGTTGTTTCTGAATTTTGACATCAGATGTAGGGGGATGTTAAACATTCAACTCATTCCCAAGATTCCTCATGCTACCGTAATACTCTTCAAGACTTTGATTTCCTTGCTGCAGATTAAAATACTCTTGGTAAAGCTGATATACTTGGTGGTGTTATCTTGCTCAAAGCAAAGCTTATTTGCATGGTCCCAAATCTCCTTAGCTGTATCTAAGAACATAAAGTTCACACTAATCTTGGGTTCCATGCTATTCTAAAACCATGTCATAATTTGTACATCTTCTTGTTCCTAGTCACTATACTCTTGAGAATCAACTTAGGGTTTTTCCTCTCTCACATGCTTCACTTACTTCTTAACCTTAAGAAAGACCTCTACACACTTAGCCCAAGGCACATAATTCTCACCATTCAGTTTAATAAAAGTCATTTGCACATCTAGGTAATCAGGGGGAATCATAACTAGACTTCTGTTCACTGCTGTCTCCCATAGCTGCCATAGTAAAAACAAACTTCCCACTCACTAGGATATCGCACCACTTCACTTGCTAGCCACCACACTACACCACTAATGGCTGATTACTGCTGAAAACATCTACTGTAAAAGTTTCAGCAATAACAGTCACTGCAGTCATACACTTTCAGTACCACAAAACCACCCGGATACACCCCACACACATACCACTAAGTCTGCAACTAACCAATACTTGTTTCACATTGTAACACCCATGCAACCCACCTATTTAAACCACACAAATCAGCCCTGCACCAATCTGTCTACTACACCACCTGAAACAGCCCTCTTCGATCCATCGATTAGAGGGTTTATACCAACCACATGAAACACTCAGTGCACCACCAACTGGAGGCATGAAAACCTCCAAAATAAGAAAATGATCACTCCTTTTCAGCCCTTTTGTGAAACTCCAAGTGATTGGTGAGATCTCTATAGAAAACTAGGGTAGAAGGCGATCTAAAATTCTGGGTTAACTTCTGATTCAATGGCAGCTGCTCTGATCTATGTTACAGATCTAATCTGTACTAGTTTCTGTCCTAGAACAGTAGAGAAACAGAACAGAGAAGAAGAGAGAAGAGAGAAAGAAGAGAAGGAGAGATAGAGAAGAAAATCTGGTTCAAACTAGAGAGAAAGTCCAACTCTCTAGTTGGCCAAGTAATTTAAAGGTTTCTAACTTAAGTTAGAAAGACTCTTATGCCCCTAAGTATGGGACATGACACTTAAATCAAAATATGAAGGACATTACATCATGCTACTAATATAAGATAAATGACCAAACTACCCCTTAACAGCCAACTCTAACAATGGGAATATGTAGCCTGTCTTATTAGTTCACGAGTTAGAGGAAGAGAGTTATTGAAATCATAATGCATCTATTATACTTGCATACATATGTATATATACACACAAATAGATATAGGCATATGCTGTGTTAATCCAGCCAATTCTAAGTCAGAAGCCTGACAAATCAGGTCATTTACTTGGTTTTCCTACCATGATAGAAATCTATCCAAACAATTTTCTGACAAATAGAATAAAAAGTTTCTTCACCAATATCTGTTTCTTATTATGAGATTTTATAATTTTTTTGAGTGGTAATACATTGATAATACCAAAGTAGAATGTTTGTGGAGTAAATGGACCACTATAAAATTTTCATGAAAATATCATTTTGTATGACCATTTTAGTTAAGATATATTTCTTCCAATTTCACTTATGTAGCTACTGACAAGCTTTGGAACAAAAACATGGAGTACTTCTCAACTTGTTATGAATTAAACAACGTTTGTCTTCCAAGTAATACATGTAGTAGAGATTCCTTTTTGTATATTTAAATACATATAAATTGTTTATCCTTCACAAATATTGGTATTATGTCTAAACATTTTCTTTTGGATTTGTGTAGAGGTCTTTCAAGATGGTGATGATTATTTTGAGGAGTATGAGGTGGAAGATTCTGAACCTTATGTAAGCTCTCTCTCTCTCTCTCTGTGCATACCCATATGCTTGCATAGATACACACAGAAGACATGGTTGGGAGACAACATTTTGAGGATAACATATATATATTAAAAGGTTGGAGATGGAGGTGAAGGAGGTGGAATATCTCTTGCTGGAACATGGTGGGACAAGGAAGCATTAGCTATAGCTGAGGAGGTTTCTCAATCGTTTGATGGTGACTTGAAAATTTATGCATTTAAGACATCTGCGAATTCCATCATTCAAGTGCGAATTGAGAAGCTTTCCAATAAGTAAGTTCCTTTGCATATTAATCAATGTCTTTGTGCAATGCAATGTTATAGAGTTTCCTCTTATTAAATGATTTGTTACCTAAACAATTTTCATAATATTTGTTATTTTATTTTATTATCTTTTGGGGAAAACCTCTTATACTATGGTTAATAGCTTCAACTTGGATTTTAGGTTTTTAATGAATTCGAACAGGAAAAAGTAAAAGTGAAAATAAATTGAATGACAGAACAATTGATAAGGAAACAACCTATAAAAAATGATAGAGAAACAGTGGACTCTGAAGAGAAACTCACTGCCTACAACTAGTGAATGAAATAGTCATATGAACTTAATTAAGGAAAACCTTATTTAGTCCTTTTGTCTCAAATGCAACATGTGCCTAGGCACACTTGGTGTGTGCCACACTAGTAGGTAATGTGCAGGCAGGAGGTTGAAGTGGGAAAGAGGGGGAGAGGGAACATGCAGTAGTAGGTAATGTGTAGGCAGGCAATAGGAGTGAGGTCCACTGCTTTAAATAGAAGAGGTTCAATTTTAAAAAGGGAAACGAGGTAACTGGTCCGAGAGGTTAAAGGGTATTTTTGGAATTAACTTGCCTTCATTGAAAACTGGTTTTAGCTCCTTTATGCCCAGTCAAACAAGGTCTGAAGAAAAAGATGGCGATGATGAGTGGGTTTGGGTGGTGACGAAGTATGAGAATGGTAGGAAGATCGCCCAGCCAAGTAGAAGCATAGGTGAAGGCAAATCCATTGCTTCCTGTCCAGAAGGAAAAGGAGCAGAAATCCAAGAATTTTGAGGTTATAGATCAACCTAGTGGCTGTTTGTCTCAGAAGTCAGCGGAGGATCCATTTCAGATGATTAGCAGTTGTGAAAGAAGGGCGGGGGAAAGTTTGGGGAATCTTCGGAGGCTGGATAAGACAGAAGATTAGGTACTCAATCGTTTCTTGGATTGCTGGTAGGGGCAAACCAACTGGGGACCAACAACAGTGAGAAGCTACCAGTGACGATAGGAAACAGGAAGAATGTTGAAGTTGGGTTGAGAGTTTTAGAAATCATCACCTGCTTGAATATTGAGGAAAGTTCAAAGGATATGGAAGGCCTAGTGGTGGGAGTGATCGGCAGATCAAGATGCCATAATCAGGAAAATGGTGAATGGGCTTCAAGACCTTTGGAGGCCAGAACAGTGGATACAAGGACAACAGCGATGGTAGGCAAAGAGATAGTAGAAGAAAATATAAACGATAGAGGAAGTCAGAATCAGGAAAATGATGCATGGGCTTCAAGACCTTTGGAGGCCAGAACAGTGGATACAAGGACGACAGTGTTGGTAGGCAAAGAGATAGTAGAAGAAGAAAATATAAATGATAGAGGAAGCCAGAATCAGGAAAATGATGCATGGGCTTCAAGACCTTTGGAGGCCAGAAGAAAATATAAACGACATAGTTGTCAAGGTGACGCCTAGGTGACAAGGCGCCCTTTGAGGCTCGCCTCGCCTAATCACCAAGCAATTTTTACTTCCTACTATAAAATACTTTTTTTGTTCATTCTTTTTTGAGATTATAATTATAAAATAGACATTATTAAACTAAAATAATCATTTTGTGTGTTTATATACTAATTTCTTTTTTATTATTTTCTTAATTAGGGTTTAATCAACACAAAGATTGCTAAATGCTGTATTGAACCCTCAAAGACTTCAAAACCTGAACCAATAAGTAAGAAAGAACTTAAAATTTTATCTAATTAGCACATTTTCTTCTTCCATATATTCTTCTTCTACTTCTTCTTCTTCTTCTTCTTCTTCTTCTTCTTCTATTACTACTACAACCACCAATACTTTTTCATTTCTTCTTTTCCTATAACAAAAATAAGGGTTCAGCCCCTATGCTTTTTTAATTTTATTTTCCTTCTTTTTCTTCTCATGAATATGTTGATTTTCCATACTTTAATATGAACTTTATACTTTGCTTATGAAAATTATGAATAGTTATTAAGGAAATATGGTCATGGTACCTAGGGAATTGCCCTAGGATCCATGTTTTTAACATAAAAAATCCATCACCTAGGCGATGCCTTGGCGGCTTGAAAACTATGATAAACGATAGGTGAAGAGATAGTAGAAGAAGAAAATACAAAAGATAGAAACTCAGTCTAAAAACGATGAGGCAAGTTCCTTGAGCTTCACTTCACCAGGTGAGTTGAGTAAGAGAGGAAAGGATAAGAAACTAAGGAACGAAATAGAAGAGGTGAAGGGAAGAAGGGGAAAGAGAAAGTGGTGGGATGAGGAGGGGGAGACCTGCATGAAAGAGTGTACAATAGGAGGAGGCTACCGGGTTCATCATAGGAAAAAGTAGGGGAGAAGGGAGGAGGTGCGGGAGAAACGGAAGAGATAGGGGAAGGAGTCATGGAGTTCACACAATCCCCCGCTCGATACCTCTATTAGAGAGGAATGTCTGGTTTTACCTCTCTGTAGAAGTGGAGAAGACGACTGAGTCACCTTCACGACCTGCCGAGTCAACTCAGATCCCTCACCCCCCAAAGGGCCTGAAGCTCCTACATGTTCAAAATCCCTTTCTGGAAACTTTCGTAAAATAGAAGGAAGCAGATTGCTAGAGAGTGACCATTTTGAGAAGCCTAAGTTCTTTCCCAAAAGATACCTCTAGGCCTCTTAAAATGAGAAGCTGAAAAAGCAAGGCGGGCCAAGCCTCTCTCGATAGCCCCATTCAAAATTCAAATTGTCTCCAGAATTTGGTTGTTCTAATGCTAACAAGACCCACCAGTTAGGGGCTCCAAACCCGCTTCAAGTTTTGGGCCAGAATCTTTCTATAGTCCAATCGCTAGGAATGAGAGAAGGCCCACGTGGCTCAAGTCTACCTGAGACCCCAACTTTCTTAACTAAGCCTATCCCCGAAAAAATTCCTAGTTCGGGAAGACACAATAGAAAGATTTACAAACCTCCTTCATCACCAGATAGTATAAACTCTTCAATCATTGAATCAGATGGCACCGATGGAGTTGAGGATTCAAGCTCTTATGCAATGGAGGCTGAACCAGATCCTAGGGAGGTGGCATTCTCAAGGGCCAAAGACCTGTTCACTAGTAGTTTGGGGAAATGTAGAACTGTTCGAACAGACTCATCTGGTCAACCCTGAGTACGAGATCAATTGTGAGCTAGCACGCCTAGAGAGAGATCAAGGATGAGACTCACATTCCTTTTCTAGAGTTTCCCCTTCTCCTTCCTCTTCGTTTCCTTTAAATCTTCTTGTTTCTTCTTCTAACCTTGGATCTCACTTTTTTCCCCTTGTACTCCAGGTTCGAACAGAGAGCTTTCCCAACCAAGCGTTAACCCAAACTACAAGAAAAGTTGGAAAATGGGCATCATAGTTCGAACAAACATGTAAGGAATGTTATCTTGGAAGAAGGTGATGAGTTACCGCTCACCTCGGAAGCCCCTTCGAGGGTGGCTTAACCTCCTGAAACAGAAGATGAAGGGGAAGAAGAGAAGGGAAGGTAGGAAGAGGATGGACTCAGAGAGAGAAAACGAAGGGATATTCATTCACACCTTTTATTATATGATTATGGCCTTATATAGCTGGCCTACAGGTGTAATCATAGAGGGAATATCCTCTGATTGCAGGGTAACTAACTCTGGAAGATATCATGGAGGGAATATCCTCTAGCAGCAGAGTAACCAACTCTGAGTGTAACTAACTCTGGGGCTCTGTCGCGTGTCCTTTCTGTCTCCTTGTGAACTACTGATGGGTGGTGGTCTGCTCCACTCCCATAGTTGGGTTCGGGGGGAGTGTTTGGGTCCCAACAATTCCTCCCTCCTTAGCATTGACCTTGCCCTCAARGTCTAGGTTTGGAAACCTCTCGTTCAGCCTTAGATAAGGTTCCCAAGTGGCATCTTCTAGAGGCAGCCCGACCCATTCTACCTTGGCTTCTGGCACAACCTGCCCACCTCGTCGAATCCAATGGAAATCCACAATTCTGATAGGCTCCGTGTAAATGTCCCCTTCCTCAGTGAATTGGGGTAAGTTGGATGAGATAGGAGTATGATTTCTCATAGCTTTCTTGAGAAGTGAGATGTGAAACACCGGATGAAGCTTTGAGGTAGCAGGGAGGTCCAATCTGTAAGCAACAAGGCCCACTCTCTCCAGCACCTTATAGGGCCCGTAATACCTTGGAGCTTAAGGTAGACAAAATCACCCACCTGAAACTCTAATGGGCAGTGGTGAGAGTCATAGCGGACCTTCATTCGTTGTTGGGCTTTTGTCAAGTTGGTCTTAAGCAGTCTAAGGATCTCGTCTCTTGCCAGTAGGCGGGTCTCTACTTCTGCCACCTTGGACGACCCATATACATAAGGTAATATGGGAGGGGGTTCTCTGCCATATAGAGCCTTGAAGGGTGTCATTCCTACAGCCGACTGATAAGTCGAGTTGTACCAGTATTCTGCCCACGGGAGCCAGTGGGCCCACTATCTAGGCTTCTCCCCTATGAAGCATCTAAGGTAGGCTTCTAAGCATCGATTAAGGACTTCAGTCTGTGGGTGATAACTTGTGGATGGGCACAGTTGGGTTCCTTGCAATCGGAAGTATTCCTTCCAGAATGAACTCAGGAAGGCAGGGTCACGGTCCGAGACAATGGATCTTGGTGTTCCATGCAGTTTTGCGATGTCCCGTATGAAGATGTCAGCCACCATTGCTGCGGTGTAAGGGTGAGGCAATGCAGAGAAATGGCTGTACTTGGTGAGACGGTCAACCACTACCATGATAACCTCCTTCCCTGCAGAATGAGGAAGTCCTGTGATGAAGTCCATGGAGAGGTCTTCCCACACTTGCTCTGGAATCTTGAGGGGCTGTAGAAGGCCCGCGGGACACTGCGAGGAGTATTTCTGCTATTGGCAGGTTTGGCATTTGGATACATAGTGCAACACATCCTTGYGCATTCCTACCCAATGGTAGTGGCTGCTAAGCCTCTTTAGGGTCCGTAGCACCCCTGA